CCCCCCACGTCAGCCTGCGTGCGGGCAGCGCCGGGGCTCAGCCGCGGCACCAGCCCGGACCCGGCCTGCACGCGCCCGGGCCCCAGGCCCCTGCACCCCACAGCCCGGGCCCCGCTCCCCACGCGGTACCCGCAGCCACGCCAAGCCATGCCCCAGCCGGCTGACGCCACCTCCGAGCCCCAGCACAGGGACACGTGCTAGGTGCAGACGGACTTTCAGCTGCGCCCACCGCGGCCCCCTCCTCCGTCCACAGTGGAAATTTAAAGAGCTGCAGGATGACTCCGTTTCCCATCTTCCTGCGCGTGGCGGGAAGGAGCAGGTTCAAGTCTGCGAGTCTCCACCGCCCCGTCAGGAAGGCCCCAGCCCGGCTGCCCTGGGCACGATGGGGGCAGCCCCCGGCCCCTGGGTTTCTCCATCAGTGCGGGATGCTTCAGGGGCTCCGGCGACTGCCGCTGCCCCAGGCACCCCACTGTGCACGAGGGAGCAGCTCCGGTGCGCAGGGTCTTGCTGATGCCCCCGCACCCGGACCCCCTGCCCCGACGTACAGCTCCTCCCGGCCCCGTGGGGAACCCCAACGCCCCCACCTTGCAGGATCAGCCCTCATCCTGCTCCATCCTTGCCAAGGGAACCACGATTCAGGGCAGGGGCAGAGAGAGGGGACACTACAGACCAGACCACGCACCAAGCTGGAGGCCTCTCCTCAGCACCCCCCAGCCCAGCAACACCCTTCCCTGCTCTGGCCCACTCCAACCGACCCCTGCCCCGGGGCAGAGGCAGCATCCCTAAGCCTGCGTCTGGCACGGGCAAAGAGACCCTGCTGCGAGGGGCTGCACGCTGCAGGTCGGAGGCCACCAGCAGCCCCTTGCCAGGTGGAAATGGAGGCTCATAAGGGGAATCATAGAAAACGAGGGTTGGAAAGGACCTTGGGCGGTCACATCTCATCCAACCCCTGCTCCAAGCAGGACCAGCCCCAACTACATCCTCCCAGCCAAGGCTTTGTTTCACCAGGTCTTAAACTTCCAAGGATGGAGAGTCCATAACCTCTCTGGGTAACCTGTCCCAGTGTTTTACTATCCTGCTAGCGACAGAATTTTTCCTAATATCCAACCTCCACCTCCTTTGCTGCAACTTGAGCCCATTGCTCCTTGTCCTGCCATCTGCCCCACTGAGAGCAGCCCAGCTCCATCCTCTTTCCAGCCCCCGGCAGGGAGGTGAAGGCTGCTAGTCAATCTCTCTTGGTCTTGTCTTCTGCAGACTAAATCAGCCCAGGTCCCTCGGCCTCTCCTTGTGGCAGAAATGCCACCGTCGGTGCCCCTCTCCAGAGACCTGTCTCTGCCAGCCTGAGAGGCTGCTGTTGAATCCCTCAGGGCGGGGATCTCCCACCTTGTCTGCATGACGGTGCCTGGTGCCTGGGAGGCGGATGCTTTGGTCACCTGGGCAGGGGGGAAAGCCCAGGTAGCCAGTGATGCTTTTTTAAATTCGTTGGCTAGTGGCCAGCACTGGCAGCTTCGATTGGACGGGGCGGCTGAGGTCAGAGAGGTTATTGAAAGGCCTGGGCCAGGAAGAAAGGAGCCATTCTCCATGCGGTCATCCAGGTGAATCTGAACCGGGCTCTCTCCTCATCACCGCATGCTGCAAGAGTGCCCTGCCTCCAGAGGAAACTGTACAGCCCTACAGAATAAAAGCTATTATTTCTATTAGCCTAACTCTTTACTTGCTTTTCACCTTGCTTAGAATCATAGAAATGTAGTGACCTCAGGAGGTCATCTACTGCAGCCCCTTGCTCTCAAGGCAGGATCATCTCTGACTAAACCACGCTAGAGAAGTCTAAGCTGCTCTTAAAATTTCCTAGGATGGAGAATCCACACTCTGTCTTTGATAACTTGTTCCAGTGTTTAACTACCCTAATAATGAGAAACTTCCTAATATCCAATCTAAATTTCCCTTGTTGCAATTTAACCCATTGTTCCTTGTCCTCTGTAGCCACAGAGACTAGCCTATGACCATCCTCTTTATAACCACCCTTCAGGTATTTGAAGGCTGTTATCAGTCCCCAGTCTTCTCTGACTAAATAAGCGCAGTTGTTTCAGCCTATCCTCATAACTCACAGTTTCCAGGTTTCTGGTCCTTTTTTGTTGCATTCTGCTGGACTCTTTCTACATTTTTCTTGAAGTGCAGTGTCCAAACCTGGACACAGTACTCCAGATGTGGCCTCCCCAGTGCTGAACAGAGGGAAGAATCACTGCCCTCATTCTGCCAGCACCGCTCCTACCAATGCACCCAGGCTGCCGGTCGCCTTCCTGGCACAAGGGCACGCTGCTGGCTCCTGTTCAGCTTCTTGCCCCCTGTCCCCCCCGGTCCTTTTCTGCAGAGCTGCTGCGCAGCCCATCGGCCCCTGCCCACACCGGTGCAGGGGATCGCTCCTCCTCAGTGCAGGACTCTGCACTTGTCCTTGTTGAACCTCATGAGATTTCTTTTGGCCCAGTCCTCCAATTTATCCAGGTCCCTCCGAATCCTAGCTCTACCCTCCAGCGTATCTACTACTCCCCCCAGTTTGGTGTCATCTGAAGACTTGCTGAGGGTGCGCTGCATCCCATCTTCCAAGCTGCTGATGAAGACATTGAACCAAACCAGCCCCAGGACTGACCTCTGGTGCACTCCACTTGATACCAGCTGCCATCTAGACATTGAGCCCTTGATCACTAGTCTGAGCCCAATGCTCTAGCCAGTTTTCTATCCACTCGTGACCCCAGCCCTGTCCCCGCTGCCCCAAGGCCGGATGCAGCTGCCCCCAGATGGTATCACAGCTGGGCAGTGCAGCCCATGACCCTGCACCCGGTTTGGGCTCAGCTACAGCGTCTCCCAGGAAGTTGCCCCCACGGCCCCAAGTCGGTGCTGCCCCAGCTGCAGGCCACTTCCAGGGATTGCCCTTCAACTGGCCAGGGCTTGGGAAGGTGCTGGGGTGAACACTGAGGCTGCTGCCCCCTCCCCAGACCTGGCTTTAGCACCTGAAGCATGAGCCCGTGACCTTGGGCTCCTGCTGGGAGACTTCTCCCCAGCTGGGCTACAGCCAGCAAGGCTCTGCTGAGGGGAAGGGGAGCTGCTGCTGCATCCTCGAGCCCCTTCCCTGAGGACAAGGCCCTTCCCTGCAGCCCAGCACAGCCTGTGCACCCCATGCCAGCTGCACCAGCACCATGCACAGCGAGGTGTCAGGGCCACGCTTCTGCTGCGCCACAGGGTCCAGCTGCAGTCGGGACTGCTGCTGTCCTGGATACAGGTGCCCACCCCTGTGCCCTGCCTTGCTGCGAGTTCTTGCTCTGCTCTTCCAGGTCATCCTTCATTCATTTGAAACCAGCAGTAATCACCTCCCTGCCCCCAGGCCATTGGTGACCACTGGAAAGGCCCAGCCCTGGCCCCGGCAGCTGCAGAAGAAACACCTGTACCGAAGGGGGATCCCCAGTTGACAGCTGCTGCTTGGGACCTCTCCATAAGCAAATCCTTAACCCAATTAAGAGGTTGATGACACTCAGCTTGCAGTGCCGGTTAGGTCCAGCACCCCTGGGGCAGCTCAGGAGACCGAAACTACAGTCAGGACCCATTTCCCATAAAGCCACATTGATAGGAATACAGTTAATATCAATCCATATAATGCAGGAACAAAAGGATTTATCAATGCCTCCGTGCTTCTCCACAGGGCTGACATCAGGGTCCCTGGCTTGCATTTACCCAGCTCACTGCACCCGTATATTAGGGTTTATTAAGAAGCATCTGCTTGCCAAGCTCCTGGGCCCACTCTTGTAGAAGACTTGGTAGCAAGTCAGCTTGACCTGATGAATGCAGGTGCTCCTCCCTACTACTTATTAAGCCCCACCCCACCTCAGGTCTCAGCAAGCTAGAAACAGGGCTTTGCTGTCCTCCTGCAAGAGCCTGCCAAGTGTGCCAGCCCAGGTCTCTGCAAATACCAAACAGAAAGAGCAATGGGTGCAGGAAGGCAGGATTTGATTCAAGGGGGATGTAACTTAGTGACAGAGGATGCAGAAAAGGCTGAAGCACTCAATGCTTTTCTCACCTCAGTCTTCACAGGCAAGGTCAGCTCCCAGACTGCTGCGCCGGGCAGCACAGTTCGAGGAGGAGGTGAGCAGCCAAGGTGATTAGGAGCAATCAGCATGGATGCACCAGGGGCAAGTCATACCTGACCAACCGGATTGCTTTCTGTGACAAGGAGACTGGCTCTGGCTGGGGGGAGACTGGTGATGTGGCACACCTTGATTTTAGCAAAGTTTTTGAGACGGGTCTCCCACAATGTTGTCACAGGCAAGCTAAGGCAGTACGAGCTAAATGAATGGACTGTAAAGTGGACAAAAAACTGACCGGTGCATCGGGCTCAGAGCAGTAATCAGTGGCTCAATAACTAGTTGGTAGCTGGTATCAAGTGCGGTGCCCCACGGCTCGGTCCTGGGGCTGGCTTGGTTCAATGTCTTCACCCACAGCCTAAAAGATGGGATGCAGCGCACCCTCAGCAAGTCTGCAAGGACACCAAGCTGGGGGGAGCAGTGGACACACTGAAGCGTAGGACAGGGATTCAGAGCGACTGGCACATCGGAGGATTGGGGCAAAAGGAATCTCCTGAAGTTCAACAAGGACAAGCACAAAGTCCTGCACTGAGGAGGAGCGATCCCCTGCACCGGTGCAGGCGGGGGGCGACGGGCTGGGCAGCAGCTCTGCAGGAATGGACCCGGGGGCAACAGGGGACAATTTGCTGAATGAGCCAGCAGTGCACCCGTGTTGCCAAGAAGGGCTCCATGGGCTGCATTGGGAGGAGCATTGCCAGTAGGTCCAGAGAAGTGATTATTCCCCTCTGTTCAGTACTGGGGAGGCCACATCTGGAGTCCAGTGTCCAGCTGTGAGCCCCCCCCACTACAGAAAGGAGATAGGGAAGTTGGAGAGAGGCTAGCAGAGGGTGACATGACTGGTGAGGAGAGGCCAAAGGACCTGGGCTGATTGAGTCTGCAGCAGAGAAGACCAAGGGGGGTTGAATAGCAGCCTTCACCTCCCTGCAGGGGGGCTGCAAAGAGGATGGAGCTGGGCTGGTCTCAGTGGGGGCAGATGGCAGGACAAGGAGCAACGGGCTCAAGCTGCAGCAAGGGAGGTGAAGGTTGGATATTCGGAAAAATTCCGTCACTAGCAGGATAGTAAAACACTGGGACAGGTTACCCAGAGTGGTGGTGGACTCCCCATCTGTGGAAGTTTAAGATCCAGGTAGACAAAGCCTTGGCTGGAAGGATGTAGTTGGGGCTGGTCGTACTTGGAGCAGGGGGTTGGATTAGGATACGAGCTCCTGAGGTCCCTCCCAACCTTCATTTTCTGTGATTCCCCTTATGAGCCTCCATTTCCACCTGGCAAGGGACTGCTGGTGGCCTCCGACCTGTAGCGTGCAGCCCCTCGCAGCAGGGTCTCTTTGCAGATGCCAGACACATTTCAGGAGCAGCTTGTCCTGTTCCCTGGTTGGACCAACCCCAGCAGCTGGGGCTGGATCCATATGTCCATGCCCAGGGCTCCCAGCTTGGCAGTGCTCAGGAACCGTGCACAGCACCTGCAGCACCGCACCCCCAGCCCTTTAGTGCCCGTGTCCTCCCCATGGAGGGACAGCCTGCGGTCTTGGTGCTCCAGCCACGGGAGAGGCCGCCCCAGGCATTGGCCATGCCCAGAACTGCTAGTGCCTTTGGGTGGTGGCTGGGAGCCAGCCTAGCGCCAGCAGCAGCTGGGAGGGTTTCCGCCCCTTGCTCATTCCTTGCCATGTCTGAGCACGAGCCGCCCAGCACAGAGCACCCCCCAGTCCTGCCCAGGGCAGCATCTGTCCAGGCCCTGCTCAACTGGAAGGGCAGTTCCTGCAGCAGCATCTACAATCCTGCAATCAGATGGATTGCAGATTGGCTGAAGGGTCGCACTCAGAGGGTGGTGGTGGATGGATCATATTCGACTTGGGGGGAGGTGGGTAGTGGAGTCCCCCAGGGCTCGGTCCTGGGCCCTGCGCTGTTCAATTTCTTCATCAGCGATCTTGATGTTGGGGTGGAGAGCAACCTGTTTAAATTCGCTGATGACACCAAAATTTGGGGGGAGGTGAGCACGCTAGCAGGGAGAGAGAGATTGCAGAAGGATCTGGATAGGTTACAGGGGTGGGCAAACAGGAACAGGATGTGTTTCAATACGGACAAGTGCAGGGTGCTGCACTTGGGTAGAAGGAACCAGCAGCACACTTATAAGATGGGGAGCTCCCTACTTGAGAGCACGGAGGCGGAAAGGGATCTTGGTGTCATTATTGACTCCAAGATGAACATGGGCCGACAATGCGAGGTCATGGTTGGCAGGGCTAACCGGACCTTGTCGTGCATCCACAGGTGCATCTCGAGTAGAGCCAGGGAGGTGATCCTCCCCCTCTATGCGACGCTGGTCAGGCCGCAGCTGGAGTATTGTGTCCAGTTCTGTGCGCCCCATTTCAGGAGGGATGTGGACAACATGGAGAGGGTCCAGAGGAGGGCCACCCGCATGATCCGGGGACAACAGGGCAGACCCTACAGTGAGAGACTGCGGGACCTGAACCTATTCAGCCTCCACAAGAGAAGGCTGAGGGGGGACCTGGTGACCGTCTATAAACTCACTAGGGGGAACCAGAAGGGTTTGGGGGAGACGCTGTTTCCCCTAGCCCCCGCTGGCATAACAAGGAGTAATGGGCACAAGTTGATGGAGAGGAGGTACAGATTGGACATCCGAAAAAACTACTTCACAGTTAGGGCGGCTAGGAGCTGGAACCAACTTCCAAGGGAGGTGGTGCTGGCCCCTGTTTTTTTTTTGGGTTGTTCTCCCGCCCTGGCGGGGGGTCGGGCTAGAAGATCTATTAGGTCCCTTCCGACCCTAAAACTATGAAACTACCCCAACACAGGATCCCAACAGCACTCCCTGCTCCTTCCCGGGTGCAGTGCACCAGCACCGTCCCCCCTTCCCGACATCAGACCAGCACCTCCCAGCTGCATTAGGCCCTCAGTCCGGCCCCACTCCCCCTCCCCAGCCCCCTCCAGGATGCTGGATCTGAGCCCCAGGCCCTCACCGGGGTGAGCTTGAGGTCCTGCAGCACGTGGTCCATGAAGTGGTACTCGGAGCGGTCCAGCTGCACCAGCGCCTCCTTCAGCTCCAGCACGCGGCCCAGGGCCCCGTCCAGCACACGGCGCAGCATGCGGCGCTTCTGCGGCTGCAGCATCTGGTCGTGGCAGGTCTCCAGGCGCCGCACGACCTGCACGTAGCGCAGGAACAGGGTGGCCAGCCCCTGGGAGAACGCGGCCCGGTCTCGCTCGGGCCGCGGCGGTGTGGCTGGCAGCTCCTGGGCCAGCAGCTCCTTCAGGGCCACCTGCGACTCCAGCCACATCCTCCCGTAGGTGCTGCGGGGAGCGGCGGAAGCTTGTCAGCATGGGGAGGGAAGTGGGTGCAGAGACCCCCGGGACATGGGCCGGAGGGGCCAGGACTGGTATCCTCCGTGCTGCGCGGAGCGGAGCAGGCAGCTCAGAGCTCACGCTGACCACACCTGGGGCTAACACCTGTGCACAGGTGCGGTCTCTCACGTCCCCCCACAGCAGGTTCAGCCCCCTCACCTGCCCCAGGCTTCAGCCCTGCAGGATGCTGCAAGCACGTGGCCCTGGGGATAGAAGTGGCTCTGGGGAACCTTGCAGGCACCTCACTCCCACGGGCCCAGCAGCAACATCGCTCCTAGGCTTCCCTGTGCCGGATCTCAGCCCGATGCTCCCCAGCGTCCTGCCCCTACCCCGGAGACAGAGGAGGAGGGTGCAGGATGCTGCAGCCCTCTGCCCAGGGCCACCCCATGTCCACGGGTCCCCTGCCCGCCCCACCTCGAACGGGCAGGGCACCTGGGCTCCCACCTCAGCCCGAGGTGCCCCTCCAGCACAGCCGTGACAGCCGCCCCCACGCGGGGGGGCAGGAGCCAGCCCCCCCAGGCTGGGCTCCACCTGCTCTGCTCCCGTGGGCAGACCCTTCCGCGGGCCAGAGCAGCTTGCCAGTGGCAGCCGGGAACCCGCACCCGAGCCCAGACCGCGTCTCGGCCACCTGCAGCCATGGCCATAGCGGGGGCCGGGCTGCACAGGAGAGCACGCGGCAGGGCTGCTGCGACTCGGGGGCCCCCCAGCATAAGGAAGGGGACAGCCCCCCCCCAGCCACAGCCTCACGCCCAGGGCATCTCGCACATGCCCCACCACCAGTGCCCTGCCTCAGCCCCAGGCTGCCTGTGGCACCCTCCCCTCCTCACGTCCCAACAGCACCAGTTTCATCCTCCGTCTCACCGGTTGGACATGGCTCCTGCCACCCCAGCACACGCCGCCCCGCCACCACGGGAAACACCCCGGAGCCCATTCCCATGGAGACCAAGGACCACACAATGCCCCCCCTGTGACATCAGGGCCCCTGGGGGGGGCCCCAGTGAGGTCGCAGGGGTCTGCAGAGGGCGCAGCCCACCCCCCCCAGACAGGACGCAGTGGTGCGGGGGCAGCGGTGCGGTTTATTAGGGCGCAGCGGTCACTTGCTGCTGGTGTACTTGGTGACGGCCTTGGTGCCCTCGGAGACGGCGTGCTTGGCCAGCTCTCCGGGCAGCAGCAGGCGCACGGCCGTCTGCACCTCGCGGCTGGTGATGGTGGTGCGCTTGTTGTACTGCGCCAGGCGCGCCGCCTCGCTGGCGATGCGCTCGAACACATCGTTCACGAAGGAGTTCATGATGCTCATGGCCTTCGAGGAGATCCCCGTGTCCGGGTGCACCTGCCGGGCAGGGGGCAAGAGGCGTGAGGGATCCTGCTCCACCCCAGCCCCTGCCTTGCCCTCCTTGCAGCTCCCCACCTAGACTCACAGAAGGGCTCGGTCCTTGCCCCTGGCATGACCTGGGTCCCCAGCAATGCATGGCCCACATACCCACACCCCGTGCTGCAGGGGGGAGCTGGGCCCAACCCATGCCCTGGGCACTGGCCAGGTGCTGCCCCTTTGCTTGGGGATGCAGCAGGCAGAGATCCCAGGGTTGCAGAGGGCAGCTCCCCCTGCCCAGGGGCCAAGCAGCATCACTGCACGCCTCACACGCCTGCAAGCGCAGGGTCAGGGCCCTGCACCAGTGCCCCAGCCTCCAAGTACTGTGTGGTGGCAGGGAGAGTGGAGGGACAGGAGCAGCTGGACCCCACCCAGGGGCTTAGCCCTTGCTCAGGGCCAGGACCCAGAGACATGGGGTCAGCAAGCCAGCCCACACCCTGGCCTCTGAGCATTGCCGCTTGCAGCCCAGGCTACCTGCCCGGCGGAGGTCCAGGCACTGGGCTGGCAGGGGTGGGAACGGGCAGCGGGGCAGAGCTGCCTGCTCCCCACAGCCCCTTGTGCTGTGCTCCTGCCCCCAAGGGGACTCCTACAGCCCCCTCCCCAGGGCCCAGCTCCCACAGCCCCCAGGGGCACAGACGGAGCAGCAAGGGGGTTGCAACCCCAACAGCCAGGGGCCCCTTGCTCACCTGCTTCAGCACCTTGTAGATGTAAACCGAGTAGGTCTCCTTCCTCTTCAGCTTCCGCTTGGCTTTCTTGTCTCCAGAGACCGTGGGGCGGCCCCGCTTCTTCCCAGCCTCCAAGCTCATCCTCTCCTCTGGCGCTCTGCCCTGGACTAAGCAAGGGCCTAGGCAGGCAGGGCCTCACCTGCGGGTGGTTATGTAGCCAGGGCAGCCCCGGCCACAGGTGAGCACACTGAGCCAGGGGAGGCCCCAGGTGTGGCTCCTACCCCTGATTCCTGGCTCAGCAAGACCAGAGCTGGGGAATGGGCGCAGCCTGTGACAGGGCCAGGGCCCAAGGGGCTGGTGCCTGCTCCCTGCTCTGCGGGGAGGTGGCGAAGCACAAGGGAGGTGCCAGGGATGTTTGTGGGACCGGGACACTGCAGGAGCCTGTCCCGTATCACGGCCCCACGCCATGGAGCGGTGCAAACCGCGCCGTGCTGCAGCCTCCCCACTCCAGAGCAGGGACCAGGGGCTGGGCTCACACCCCTCGTGGCACATGAGCCGGCTCCAGGCGTCCTACCCGCTGCGGATGGGTTGTGGGGAGGAATGTGCTCCTGGCCCCTCTCCTGGGCATGGCCCCAGGCCCCAGCTCCCTGGGGACATGAGCACGTGCCACATGCACCGGCCCCATCCCTGCTCCGAGCGGGTGCAAGGTGCCTTGGTGCTTGGCTGCACGTCTGGTGCAAGGGTGCTGCCTGTTTTCCTTTGCCTGGTGGGAGCATGTGTGCATGTGTGGTGTGCGTGTATGTGCACGCGTGTCTCTGGAGTGCTGAACAGGGGTGATCTGTGCCAGCAGCCTGTGCTGCAGGGCAGAGTCCTGCCCCAGCTGGACACGCATACCCTCGGCTCCTGGCAGGACGCTGAGTCTCCCCAGAGCTTCGGTGGGGGGAGCAGGGGCTGGTCACGGCTTTGGCGCTCGGACCCCTGCGTCATAGAATCATAGAAGTAGGGTCAGGGCCATGTCGGGGTCGAGGCCACAACTGAACTCTGCTGCAAGCATAACCTCGTTAACCCCCCCACTAGGCGCACGCTGCTTTCCTCCCTGGGGCGTCACTGGCCTGGCCGCACGCCTCGTCCCCAAGACCGGCTCTGCTCGCGGTCCCTGGCCAGGAGGCGTTGTGACGCTCGGGGCCCCGTGCTCTGCCCTTGCTTCTAGCCGAACACGGGCTTGCGGGAGATGCCCCCGGCTCCCTTCAGCGTGTGCAAGCGGCTGTGCGAGGGGGTGACGGGAGTCCCTCAGTGGGCTGCTCCGGTGGCGAGATACCCCTGGATGTGAGGGTGGGACCGCAGGCATTGCCCTCACCCCTCCGGTGCCATGTGCGGTTCGAGGAGCTGCTGCCAGAGCGGGACACAGGGGCCAGCCCCAGGGACATCGCATAGGCTGTTGCTTTGCTCTGCCGTTGCATCCAGACTGCAATGGCCCGTGGTCCAGCTTGGGGCCACTGGTTTCTGCTAGGAAGCCCCGTGGCCCCCGCCCCACCCCCTTTGGACTAGGTTATAGTCCCCTCCCCACAGGACTTGGGACCAGCTTCTTCCTGGGTGCCTACCGCTGCCTGCCAACTGCACCAAAGCATGTTTCTCACACGTGGCGCACGCACCATACAGCAGACTGGATTTATCACCCCATAGGGCTGTGCCCGCAGTGCATTTTGCCAGCAGCGATGGCTCTGGGCTCTGGCTCAGGGCACGGGCCCGAGTAGAAACCTCCAGGGACCCGCTTCACTGGGCAGCGAAACCCCACGAGCAGGTAATGCGGTTTAACCTAGCTCCAAGTGAGCTGCTGACTGTACCAGACGCTTCTCTCCGGTAGGAGCGAGGTCCAGGACCAGTCTGGATGGGCACCAGCTGCCTCTGGGGCAGCTCTTTTATGGTTACGAGCTTCCTGCCTTGCTCCCTGTGCTACAGCTCAGGTGCAGCTGCCTCCCAAGAGGGCACGGCCTAGGGTCTCACTCCGCTTTCGACAAGCACGCGTTTGCCGGGCTGCGAGAAGGAACATCCCGCAACAGGCAGGCGCCCGTTTGGAAGTCGTCACACACCAGGGCCAGGAGCACCAGCTCCACCCTAAACCCTGCTGGAAAGTGAGACCAAGGAGATCCTGGACAAGTCAATCCCACAGGGAAGAACTGCCCAGCTTTGGGTCTCAACATGCTGAAAAACGGGCACCTGGGGCTGGGCCCAAGGAGGTGGGGGGAGAAGGGGGCACAGGACGGTGCCACACAGGAGCAGGGCTGGAGCCAGCTTCCGTTTCACATCCATGCTTTATTTCACCACCTTCCTGCAGCCGAGGCTCCCTCCTTCCCCACCTCCCGTGGCCCCTGCGCTGTGTGTGCAACTAGTGAGGCAACTGCAGGGCTGCCCAGAGATACCTGCAGCGCCTGTGCCCTGGTGAGCAGAGCTCTAGTACTGCCCAGGTCTGTGTCCCTGTAGCTCGGTGCCTGCCCACACCCCTTCACCACCTCAGAGCCTTGGAGACCCACAGCACCGCAACAAGGGCACCTGCTGCTGCCCAGGCCAAGTACAGCACAAAGGCAGAAGCAGAGACTTGCTCCAGGTCAGCTCTTCTCTGGTACCCATCTCCTTGCCAGCTCTTGCTCCTGCCCCATGGTGAGTGGGGTAAGTGCACAGCACAGCCGATGCACGGCCCGTCCCAGAGCTTGTCACTCGCTGCTTGTGTGTGGTGGAGCCTGGCAGTGCTGCATCTCTGGGAGGGGGTGCTCAGCCACACGCTTTGCTCAGCCACGAGGCAGTACGAAGCTGCACACGCCTACAACTGGTGCCATTCTGGGAACGAGGAAAAAAAGAGACTGTTCTTCCCTCTTTATTGACTGATAGATTCTCAGCAGATCTGATAATGACACTGTTAAATAATAGTTAAAACCAAACCAAGGCCAGAGGAGTCTGAAGTCAAAGTTTCTAAACTGAAGCAGAAGTTGGGGCAGGAGGTGAGCTGGGATCTCCATTCCCCCCTGGCTGCAGTCGGGGCACCCTGCCGCCCGCTGTCAGTGTGGCTCCAGGGTCTGGGGCTAGAGGGGACATTGTCCAGATGGGAGCAGTTGCCCGAGTGCAGCCAGAGCAGAAGAGGAGGGTCCTGTCCAGATGCGGAGGTGCAGGGAGAGCAGAGGGAAGCGATATTGCAGCAATGCTAGAACACAGCCACAGAGATAGCAGCAGAGTCCGATTCCAGGCGGCAGGGGGATGGTCAGGCTGGCCATTGTCAGTCTCCCTGGAGAACACCCGCCGGCCGACTGACCGCTCCTGCGCTCACACATTGTGGGTCTTTTTGGTGAGCTGGGGATCTTCGTCCACCAGCTTGGACTTGAGATGTTCCTTGTAGGCCAGGATGTCGCCCTGCCACTTCGTGATTGTCTGCTTCTCACAGACCCAGATCTCCTGGGCAACCTGAAAGCACAAGGCAGGGCTCAGTGCAGCTCAGCTCAGCACCAGGCACACGGGGTTCTTCCCCTCACCCCCGCCCACAGCCCTGGCTCCCTCATCTCCCAGAGGCGGCAAGGTTTGCTGCCACCAGCCGTTCACTGACAGCGCAGAGCATTCCCGGAAGCGAAGGTCGGCCAGGGCGCTTGGGGCAGTCCTTCCTCACCGCCACTTCCATGGGGAACCGGAACCATTGGGATCACCTGCTCTGCATGGGCAGGGCAGAGCGGTTTACAGTGACCTCAAGCAGCAGGCGGGAAGCCTGGACTTGAACTCATTTTCCTAAAAGAAAGGCTGGCTCCCATTGGCTGAGAACCAGGAAACCATGTTGCAGATACAGTAAGTGCCAAATTTAACATGAATGCTGTTTCCACGCACAGTCATGCAGCACAGCGTTCAGATGGTAAATGGGGCACTTGACTAGACCCATTCACTTCTACTTGGGTTCTGGGTCGAATGATTTGGCTGGAAATTGGAATTCAACTGAACGCCCCAAATCTGCAGGCTGCAAACTTAGATAACGCCCGCTTCAGACACGGGGGACACAGGGAAAAATCTTTCCCAGGGGTTGTATTTGAAACGTCCTTTAAGACATGAGAACCAGAAAGTCCCATCCTTCAGGCTGATCTTTCAGTTACAAGCTGGAAAGGGAGGTCAAGCTTTCCTGACTACGCAGAGCCCCACTGGCTTCTCAACTGGGAAATAAGAAAGGTGCTGAAACACATTAGCAGAGTAATCAGAGACGGAGGAAATATCTGCTCTGCACCTCTATGAGGGGCTACTGCTCTTCAAGCATGTCTATTGCCTCAGCAAGTACATCCCACTTCGGTTAGGTGCGGCTGCCAGAATCTGCCTTAAAGGGGTTGTTCCACGGGAGAGTCACTGAATAGTCCCCACCTCTAGCAGAGACGCCTGTGCCCAGCTCATCACTGCTGGCCTCGCTGGCACAGGATTGCTGGATCCCCTCCACTCATGGAGCTTATCACCTCCCCTGCCCTCACCTGCTGAATGAGCCTGAAGTCATGACTAACGAGCATCATCCCTCCCTCGAACTCATTGATGGCGTCGGCCAGCGCGTCGATGGTCTCAATGTCCAGGTGGTTGGTGGGCTCGTCCAGGAAGAGCATGTGCGGGTTCTGCCAGGCCAGCCAGGCGAAGCAGACACGGCACTTCTGTCCATCTGAGAGGTTGCGGATGGGGCTCACCTGCCGGGGGGGGGGACAACATGGTCAGAACACACCATGGCATGTGGGGCCTGCGACTCCCAGGGAAGCCCGTCCCGTGGCAGGAAGAAGACCGTGCGGGGCCCATGCCTGGAGCAGGCCCCCCTCCCCCCCACCTCAGCAGAGGGCCCTGGATTTCTGTGGCACTCCCAGACCAAGCCCGTGCTGCAGGTGCCACGGGACACAGAACTCACTGAAGTCAGCAAACATGCACCGCCTCCCACTCTCAGCCCCAAATCTGCCCCAGGTCCAGGGCAAAAAATGTTTCTCTAGGCACAGGAAGCTCACCTGAAACCTTTGAGCCTAAACTGCAATACCCAGCACAAAAGCAATGTGGCCAGAAACGGGTGCAGTGACGGCCCCTACAGCTTTGATGCATGGGAGCTGAAGTTGCTACGCTGCTGCCCCCTCGAGATGAACCGGGTGACTCACGCTCCCACCCGAGCTACCGGTCCCATCTCTGACCAGTGCGGCACCATGCCAAGACCTGGCCCCACTCTGCCCATGCCCCACAGCATCTTCCACCTTGCCCGAACCTCCCCACTGCCTCTCCAAGCCTGGCAGCAACACACAACAAACTTAAGTGACCCCACCTGTACTAAGGTATGCAATCAGCCTAGGTCAGAGCATGGGCTGGAAATCAGGCAGCAGCCAGGTGACCAAGAAGGATCCTCAAAGGACCCACAAGGAAGAGGAAGCAGAGCTGCACCCTCCCACCATCAGGCACCACTCCAGAAATCCTCCGACTGGACCAAGGACATGGACTGCAAGGGCAGGATCTTGGCACACCCACTCCTGGTCTGGCCCCGCTCCACAGAGCACAGCATTTCCATCAGGGAACAGGCACACTAGCTCCCCCAGCTGCCAGCACCACCCTGGACACCCTAGCAAAGCCAACCCCGTGCCCATGAAGCCAGCACACTGATGGAGCCCCATGGAGGTCTCGCATTCACAACTATCAGCCCAAGACAGCTTGTGTCCCATGTGACTGAAGACTGCTCTGGCTCACGGGGAAGACACAACCCCATGGAGGCCACCTGCCCACAGCACTGAATCCCAGAAAGCCCCGGCCAGTAGAAAGGATGTCTCCCCCTCAGCCACTGCACACGGTGCTGGTCACCAGCACAGGGGCACAGCTTGGAGCTACTGAGCATGATCTGGGTCCTGCTGCCATCCCTGGATACCAGAAGCCCAGCACAAGGCTGCTCCATATGCTGGCAGCTCTGAGCTGCCCTCGGCAGGCTGGACGCTGCAGTGTTTGGCTGGGAAACTCCGGCTGCGTGCCCTATTGTGATGGGCTGCACAGCACTGAGCTGGTTGGCAGATGACCCCTGAGATGGGGGAAAGCCCTGCTCCCCTAGCCCCAGGTGCTCAAAGCAGACTCCACAGAGACCTCAGCCCACACCCACCTGCTGCTTCCCAGTCAGCCCATATCTGCCGATGATTTTCCTCATCTCCTCCTTCTCCTTGATCTCTGGGTAGCACTTCATCATGTACTCCAGCGGAGACAGGTCCAGGTCCAGCTGCTCTTGCAAGTGCTGGGCAGAGAGGAGGACAGGCATGAGCCCAGGAGGTAGGAGGGCAGGGCAGTCAGCCCCACCCTTCACACATCATGTCTGCAAACACCAGCTGGGCAGCGGCAGGCAGAACAAGACGCCAACTACCACCGCCTCTCTTAGCAGTGCAGACTGGAGGCTGCCAGGAGCAGTGCACCCCTGCTGTGCCTGGCACAGAGCCTTGTCTCCAACCCAAAAGGGAAGGGAGGCTCCATAGTCCCAGAGCAGCAGGGCGCTCAGCCCGCCCTGTGCTTAACCATGACTCCAAGTGTGGAGCAGGGGAAGGCTGAGCCTGTCCAAGCAGCAGCAGCAGCCTGTCCTGCATGTCAGACCACACTGCATGGGGAGGGGTCTGGAAAGGAGGCGGCACCTTGCCAGCCCACGGGGGTTACCTGGTGGTATCTGCCGATCTTCACATGCGAGTGCTTGCGAATCATCCCATCTGTGGGGAGCAGCTGGAAGGGACAGAGCACATCACACTCGAGCGGCAGCCCAGTGCCTCCCATCATCCCAGGCATGATCCTGCCTCTGCCCAGCAATGGGGGCAACCCCGTTGGTACCAGGCTGGGGTCTGTCATCACCCACCAAGAGACCTTGGGCTAAGGGGAGTGCCCAGGGGCCGGTCAGCA